CTCCCAGTTTAAGACAGGTTTGGAAGTAGGAGTCCCATCCATTTCCTAAACAACATGTCTCTGGAAAGTCTCTGAACTTTGATAAATGACAATAGTTATTGAAAGACTTCAGGACTTCTGTTCATAGAGTCGTGCTCAACTCGATGACAATCAACAACAACAGCTGGATGTTAATTTTTTGTTTGCAACAATCACAATAGTTCAAATTCTTAATACAGACACACACACACAACCCCCCTAGTTCAAGCTGATTAGATTATATGGACATAAGGATCTGGTGTTAAAATTTAAAAGTCTTCCACAGGTGGATTCTCAGTTACAGTTGAGATCCACTGTTATCAAATAACAAAAATTAAGAAACCGTCCATAGAAAGATTAAAAAGGTGGCATTTAGTCTAAGATACAACAAAAGAAAGCAAATTTTAGTTGTTTTGAAATATAAGGAAATTTAATTAGAAACTATAAGAGATATGGCTGCAACATAAAAGCTCACTGCACATAAGAAACAACAAATTAAAAACAAAAACAAAAAAATTAAGAAGAAACAACGAATTAAAATAATATTTAAAGAATTTGGACATAGTTAGCAATTTGCAATCAGTTATTCTTAAAAAAAAAACCCACCTAAACTTAAAACAAAGACATAAGGAAATCATTGTATACAACCAAATGTGATGCTAACTGTTTTCAAAGGCTTCCCTCCCTTCCAAAATGAGTTAATTTTTCTATTTATACTGGTCTTCCTCCCCCTTAATAAACAAGTGTTGTCATAATATTTAGCAAAACATTTATAAAGAATGATACTCATTTTTCAAACACAAAACTAAAAGGAAACCCCAATCCAACAAAACACAGCTAAAATAATAACCACCACCATTCCTTATCTTCTCATAGTCTCCAGTAAAAAAAAATGGCACTGTTAATCAACCAGAAGAAGCAACTGGCCACAAAATCTGATGATGGATTCACAAGTAGGAATAGAATTATCATTTTAAGGTACAATTTCTATTATTAATTTGTGGTGAAAAATGTTCAAGGCAAGTTTGAAAAACTTTAAAAAAAATACATTTCAATACTGGTTTTACACAGAAAACAAAGCTTTTTAAAGTTCGCTGAAAATAAAGACAAAGTGACTAAGTGCAATGTTGTTATGTGCTATCGAGTCAACTGAGACTCACAGTTGAACCTATGCACACTAGCTCTGAACTTTGCTTAAAACTGAGCCAGTCTCACCATCTCTGACACACCTATACCCATTACCCCAATTACCGTGTCAATCCATCTCATCTGGGGTTTTCCTCTTCTGCACCCCTTCATGCATGATGTTCTTCTCCAAGGACTTGTCCCTTCTGGCAAAATGCCAAAGTGTGTGAAGTAGAGCTTCAAAATCCTTGTCTCCAAGAAGCAGCTTGGTTTCACCCTCTCCAAGACAGACCTGTTTGTTCTCTTAGTGGTCCATAGTATGTTCAATACTCTTCTCCAGCACCACAATTTAAAGGCATCGATTATCCTACTGTTATCCTTCATCACTATCCACCTCTCTGATGCATAGAAAGTAACTATGAAGACCATGGCCTCAATCAGGTGCACCTTAGTCTATAGATTAACATTATTGCTCTTTAGCACTTTGGAGAAGTCCCTGACAGCAGATTTCCCTGATGTCATTCATCTTCTGATTTCCTCACTACTGGTGCCAAGAGTGTTGATTGTGGAACCAGGCAACCTGAAATTGTTAACAATCTCAATCTCTTCTCCATCTATCATGATGTTGCAAATTGGCCCAGTGGTGAGATCTTTGTTTTCTTGATGTTGAACTTCAGTCCATACTGAAGTCCTTGACCTTCTGCAGCAACCGCTTGAAGTCCTCCTCAGTTTTGGCATGTGAGGTTGTGTCATCTGTATAATGAAGGTTGTTGATTGATGAGTCTTCCTCCAATCTTGAAGCCACATTCTTCCTCATAAAGTCCAGCCTCCCAAATAATCTGTTCTGCATTTGGATTGCAAAGTTATATAGACAGGACACATCCCTGACACACTCCTTTCCTGATTTTGAAGCATGCACTGTTTCCTTGCTCTATTCTGAGGACTGCTTCCTGCTAAAAGGCTAAAGAAAGAAATGCAACACTATGGGAAAATGAGAGGTTATTTACATAGTTATTATGATCACAGAAAAGGATATTTAATAAAACGTCAATAGCTCTGGCCATCCTTTCACATTTTTTCCTTATTAAGATCTCATCTAGATTTTGTTCTGTAAACTGAAGCTGATCAAGGATTGAAGGTAGCAGAAGAGTCACAAAACGATCAGCTGAGGAACAGTTAGCAGTGTCTATCACATCCTGGAGAATTAACCAACAACAAATAAAAATGTTACACAAAATGCAGAAATGGTTATCATTAAACATCAATGATCTCAAGAAATTTCTTAGATATACATCTGTATTTCGTGATTTGATTTTTCTAACAGCAATCCATCTTTTCATCCAATCTTAAATCAATAAAGTTTTATAATTTCATAAGAAAAATGGACTAAGCCTGTGATTTTTTTCTTAAATATTCTAAATTGGAAATGTTTTCTGAAAACCAATTTCTTGAATTTGACAAATGTAATCATAACAATTAAATAATGATGCTAATCATAATACTCTGGTGGCCAAGTGGTTAAGAGACCGCTCTACAATCCAGAAGGCACATGGTTTAAATCCACCAGCTGCTCACCAGGAGAAGAATGGGCAGTCTTCTACCAGTGATTAAGTGCCTCTAAAAACCTGCTGAAGGGTCAGCTAAGGATTGGTTAGGACTTGAGGACACACATAACAACAGCAATCTTAATACTTCAACAGTTAATAAAGACAGTATATAATATTTGCTGATGGCAAAACAGACTATACTAATAGTCAAATGATGTTACAAAAAAAAGGATAATGTTACAAAATAACCAAGTTAGAAATCTTTTTTAAAAAAATATAAATTGAGTGAGTATAAACATAAGCTAAGCTTTCTAATGAAAAACAAACACTCATGCATAGTAGGGGGAAAAAAATTCAACTGCTGAAATTCTGTAGCTGAATAATATACCAAGTTCTAGATCTGCTAGAAATTGAGAACTTTTCCTAAAGCAAATGAATCACTAGAAGTATACTAGAAAAACTTCTGAAAAACAATTGTTAATTCAAAGTGGGAAAGTCAACTTGTCAATCACCCTGTTACCTCAAATATTTCCTTGAACAACTGCAATGCCAAAATAGAGCAGTTGTCTGGTGTGTCCAAGGGCTGGCTGGACCAACGAAGTATAGCCACAGTGGGCTCTACACATTTAGAACGGTTTCCAAGCACCGTGTTGCTGGGTGGCTGTTCAAATATCATCTCAGTGAGCACGTGGCGCAGCCGAGTTACTGAACAGAAGGCAAGAAGTAATTCTAAAACCTGTGTAACATAAAATCCTCATTAAATATCAACTTCATTGGACTTTCAAGTATAAAACAATACAACGATGAAGCTGAAAAGGACTTTTAATTATTCTTCAGTATAAATGATCACAAATTTGATTAAAGTACAGAAAATCACAAAGGAATTTTTCAAATACAGTCATTTATATTACCATGATGAGAGTAATGGGTATTCTCTGCTAGGCAGTGAGTAGGGAATAGGAGGTCTTTTACGATTCTAGTAATGCTGCTTCTTGCTTGATCTGAGCCTTTATCATAAAACTTAGTGAAAGTTCAGTTTGTGAAAATTTAGTTCAGTACCTTAAATTTTTTCTGTAATTTAATTTTTTAAGTTTAAAATGAAACAAAATGTTATGTTTTCACATACCTTTATAGAAGAATCAGAATCCTTCCTATTAAGAAGACCTAATACTTGACTAAGACATGAGGAAAAGTGTTCATACCTAGGTTTAAAGTAAAAGAGATTAAATGGTAATTATGCAATCAATCTATTAAAAGGCAGTTATCTATAAGATAAATATAAACTATATGCTCATTTTCTATCACTTATTTATTTTCGGTTTTTAATATTGAACATAATCTTTGTGAAGTTTATACCTAAAACCACAAACAACCTAACATCACAGTAAATAGAAATTAGACCTGTCATTTATTGAAAATAGGCATACTTCATTTAACTGTGTTTTGCAGACATTTCAAATTAAAAGTCTGTGGCCATCACTGTCAAGCAAGTCTAAGTGCCTTGAAAAACATAAGTTTCTAAAAGCTTGCGTTTATATCATTTTTGTCACACTGTGGTAATTCTCAAAATATGTCAAACTTTTTCATAATACTATTTAGCATTACTATTATTTTATAGTAATAGTAATGCTATTACTATTAACAATGCTATTACTTCCATAATGCTATACTTCCTTAGAAAACAGTATAGTGTAAACAACTTGTATATGCACTGTTGTGTTGGTGTTGTTGTTAAGTGCCACTGAGTCATAGGCAACTCATAGCAACCCTATGAACGAAAATCCTCAACACTTCTGTAACTTTCATCCTTTCTCCAGGTTCAGAGGGTTTCCGGAGGCGAGCTATTTACAGAAGTGGATGCCACTCCTGCTTCCATGCTTATTTTAATCGGAGAGCTCCACCAAGGGTAATCATTCTTGCATTTGACACATCAGTGTCACAGTGTTCAGCTTCACAGCAACCACAAGTTACCTCTGTATGGCAAGTAGACATACCAGGGCTATACGACCTCTCTTCAAGAAGCAAGAGGCCACATCCAGCTGACACTGAGATTCACAAGACTAGGAAACCAAGAAAATCATGTGATGTGCCTTAATGAGATATTTATTTTTGAGGGCTAAGTTAAATAAACTCTTTAAGATAACTTCTTACTCTAGTACAACAAAGACACAGGGAAAATATAACTTAAGATGCTAAACACCAATTTTTACTTTGAAAAACAGTTGCTTTTTTATTTCAGAATATAAACAATATGAATTCCATGAAATACCACAAAGATAGGATATAAAATTACATTATCCCATTTTATCTTAAAATATGAAGGGTACAATGAAACAAATACGATGCATTTTTTATGCACAGTAGACAAGGCTTAAAGGCATGTTAAGGGGACTGTTCCTATAAGCTTGTTTATATTTACAGATGTTATTTTCTTTACTAGGTTTGGTTATAACTTAGACATTATAATATCATCCTTTCTAGTTTTCTCATATTTTATCAGAGTTTTAAATGTTAATGTTTTACTCAAATTAATCTTATGGTTTCTTATTGTAAGAGGTTATATATATACTCCTGGTTTATCTTCAAATTATATCTGTAAAAATTCTTTGAGACTAGACAGTCTTATCTCATTCAACAACTTTAATTTTTTGACTTGCAGAGGGGAAAATTCTTGTTGGTTTTCAGGTCATGTACAAGTCTTTTTTTAATAAAATTATTTTATACTGGGTTTACTTACAAAAAAAATCACATTGAAAGGATCATGTAGTACTTATAGTTTAAAAATGGTTTTAAAACAGATTAATCAAGAAAATAAAATTAAACCAGTGGTTAAGAAAATGTGCTACAATACTAAAGGCACGCAGTTCAAATTCATCAGATGCTCTGGGGCAGAAGCATAGCTGATCTCTTCAGAGGCAATATACTGCCTCTGAAAACACACTGGAGGGTCAGTTATGGGTCAGTTTGGACTCAACGGTACATTACAACAATAGAGATCCAAGATAAAGATTCAAAAACATATAAGCATATGCATATTTAAAACTCTGCTGTAATTTTTATTTCAAGGCAAGGGAGCAAACACAGTGGACACAATATACCAAAACCTTTAGATGTAGTCTACCATGTATCAACAGAATTGATATTTCTTACATCTATGATGATACATGCCTGATTTGAGGCTAAAGAAAATTAAACCAAGGTCATAAGAACTGACCTTCAGCCTATCCCACCGGGATTTAAAAAGCATCTCAAGAATAGGTTAGAGGCACTGAATACTAATGATCAAAGACCAGAAGCTGTGTTATAACATCAAAGATATCATCCATAAAGAGAACAAAAGGTAATTACATAGCAGAGGAGAAAGACCAAAACGGATGTCAGAAGAAACTCTAAAAATTGCACTAGTGCATCAAAAAGTTAAAATAAAGGGAAGTGATGCTGAAGTAAAAGAGCTGAAAAGGGCTGCACAAAAGACAAAGTATTAAAATGGAATTTGCAAAGAGCTGGAGCTGGAGAACAAAAAGAAAAGAACTCACTTGGGATTTCTCAAGCGGAAAAAAAGTTAAAAACAAATCCAAGCCTTAATACTGAGAGATACTCTGGGCAAAATCTTGAATGATCCAGGAATCATCAAAAGAAGATGGAGAGAATACAGAGTGGCAGTACCAAAAACAAGTGGGCAATATTAAAACATTTCAAGAATTAGCATATGAAACAGAACCAATAGTTATGAAGGAAGAAATTAAAATTACATCGAAGGCATTGGCAAAAAAATAAGACCCTAGGAATCAATGGAGTATCAATTAACATGTTCCAACTAATACGCAGCCAAGGTTCTGTTGAGATGTGATTACCAGTCTGTCCAGGGAAACTTGGAAGACAGCTACCTGACCAACTGAGTAATTTGTTCCTATTTCCAACAAAGGTGATCCAAGAGAATGTGAATTCTGGAGTAATATCTTTGCAAGCAAAATATTGCTGAAGATCATCCAAAAGCAGCTTGAACAGTACATTGAGAGGGAGGTTTAAGGTGGATTTAGAAGAGGTCATGGCACCAGGGATATAACTATTGATGTCAGCGGAGTCTTTGCTGAAAGCAGAGAATACCAGAGGAATATCTATCCATGTCTTATCAACTATATGTAGGCATTTGACTGTGTGAATAACAGACTATGGCTAACACGGAGAACAAAGATCTCAAAAGAATTACATGGAAACTAAATCTAGACTAAGAAGCTTTTGTACAAACAGAACAAGGGAATTCTACATGGTTTAATTAAAAAAAAAAAGTGTACCTTAGGTCTATATCCTTTCACCATACCTATTCAATCTGTATGCTAAGCAAATCTTCAAGAAACTTGACTTTATGAAAAAAGAATATGGCATCAGGATCAGCAACCTGTGTTATGCAGAGGTCATAACTTTACTTGCTCAAAGTGATGAGGATTTGAAACATTTGCTGTAGAAGATTAAAGTCTACAGCCTTCAACATGGATTGCATCTCAACATCAGGAAGACAAAAATTTTCACCACTGGGCCAATAGGTAGCTTTATGACAGGTGGAGAAAAGACTGAAATTATCAATGATTTCATCTTACTTGGATCTACAGTAAGTAACCTTGGTACCAGCAGTTAGGAAATCAAAAGATGTGACTCGTTGTTAATGTCTGCTATCAAAACTTCTCCAAAATATTGAAGAGCAATGATGGCAGTTCAAAGACTAGAGTGTGCCTAATTCAGGCCTTGGTCTTTTCAATAACTTGCTATGCATCTGAGAGCTTGAAAATGAATAAGGTTGTCACAAGAATCACTGATACCTTTGAGATGTTGTTTAAGAGAAGAGTACTGAGTATTCCATGGACTGCTACAAGAGTGAACAGGTATGTTTTGGAGAATGTGCAACCAAAGTGCTCCCTGGAGACAAGGAAATGAAACAATGAAGTGTTATCTCACATACTTTGGGCATGTTGTTAAGAGGGGCTATTCCTTTTAGAAAGAGACATCATGCTTGGAAAGGTGGAGGGTCAGCAAAAGAAGACCTTCAACCAGCTGAATGCCATGGTGATTACATAAATGGACTCAAGTAGGTAAGAGGTGATAAAGATGTTGGAAGATACAACCAGGTTTAGATCTGTTATTCATAGGGTTTCTCTAAGTCGTACTTGATTTGATGGCACCTAACAACAAAAACAACTTATGTACAAAGGCAGTTTTATACATTACAAACATGTTTTGATATGAAAGAAAAAAGGTTCTAATTTTAATCTAGGAGTCTTACCTGGTAAGATAATCAGCAATTTTAGGATTTTTAAGGAGATCCATTAGCAGGTCCACTGAATACATTCTAGTTAGTGTACCATCACCATTTACAAGAATATTAAATATCAATTGAAAAGTCTGGTGAATGTTTCGGGCATGGAATAGCTTAAAAAAAATAGAAAAGTATATTACACATAACATGAAGTGGACGTTATTCTAAAATGCTGCAAAAGATTTCAATAATGTCTAATGTATTAAAAATTATGACCTATGGAGGTATTATCTTTATAGATAGTTTAACAAATCATATTTACCTTTTCCCCAACCTCTTCATTTAATGTCAAACTGGATAGTATCGAAAGTGCAAACACAACCACGGTTAAACTACTATGGGCCAAGTATGTTATAAGAGTTCGATAAAAGGATTTCACCTTATTCTGAGGAGAGAAAAAAAAATTAAAAATTAGATGGAAAAAAATCAGAATTTTGTATTTTGGCTTAAAAGGCACATCTTGTAGAGCAAGTGAAAAAATACTATTAAATATTAAAATTCTATTGCAAGTTATTGTCACCTTTAAGAGATGTTTTATGATAGGTAAAAGGCATGGAAAGAATTTTTACCAAAGAAGATATTCGGACAGCCAACAGACACATGAAAAAATGCTCAAAATCCCTGGTAATAAAAAACCACAATGAAATACCATCTCGTTCCAGTAACAGTGGCAAAGTTTAATGGGACACCAAGTAATAAATGTTGGGAGAGGAAGTGATGAGATAGGAACTCTCATTCATTGTTGGTGGGCTTATAAATTGGCATAACCACTCTGGAAGACAGTTTGGCACGTCTTCAAAAAGCTGAACATAGACATTCCATATGACGAAGCTATTCTACCACTTGGAATATATATACCCTGAGAAAATGAGAACTAAGGCTCAAACAGAGACTTGTATACCAATGTTCATAGCAGCGCTATTCACCATCACAAAACATGGAAACAGCCCAGATGTCAAACCATAAGCGAATGGATTGAGAAATTATGGTACATTCACATAATGGAATTACTATGCAGCATGCAGGAGCAACAATTTTGTAAATCACTACCTAACTTGGGAGGGGACTTGAGAGCATTATGCTAAGTAAACTAACTCAGTCAGATATGAACAAATATAGTGTAAGATCATTACTGTAGGAATAATTAGTAAAATATGTATGAGGATCCATGAGGGGGGGAAGGGGAGAACAGGAGTGAGGATGAGTGGAGGGCATAATCATAGGGTCGCACAATTTGACGGGTGGAAGGAGGGTCGGGATAAAGAAATGGGAAATATCTTGTGTGAAAAACAATGTATAAAAACTTTCTAAGTAAACCAGCATAAAATAAAAAGTTTATATTAAAAAAAATTTTGTAAGTAATAAGATCCAAATTAGAGGGAAAAAAAAAGAAAAGATGTTCTTTAGTATTCTATAGAAAAAAAAGGCAAAGTATTGAGGAGAAAAGTAAACTAAAAGTTGTTATAAAAATATCTAGGCAAAAAATAACCTAGTAAAGGTTCAAATTAGTGCAAAATTAGTTTCTTCCATGTTTATCATCTTAAAGTAAATAAATCATTAAGAGATCTGGGTGATACTTAGCAAGAGTGTTATCCACTTCCTAAAGAACATGCCTCTGGAAATTCTATGAACTTTGATAAATGACTATAGTTATAGAAAGGCTTCAGGCCCTTTTGTTCGTAGGGTTGCTATGAGTCATTATTGACTGGACAGCAATCAACAACAACAACAACAACAACAAAAGAAAACATGGAGAGTTTAGAGAATGGAAAAGGAATAAAACCAAACCTGCTACAGTTGAGCTGATTCCAACTCCTAGCAACCTGATCACATTGACCCATAGGGTTTTAAAACTGTAAATCTTTGTGGAGCTGAATGTCTCCCAAGGAAAATTTAAGAACAAAATTTCCTGTAAGCACAGTACCAAAAACAAAACAAGAAAAAAAATAAAACAAATTTCTTACCAAAGTCTTGATATGGGTTTGAACAGAAAGATTGTGCCGACACAGATTTGCCAATAATCCCAGACAAGGCATAGTTAATTCATCTTCAGAAGACTGACTGTTGTTTTAGTTTCATGTATATTAAAAAAAGAAATAGATTAGGTTTTAAATATTTTTAAAACAACTATAAGATATCATCTCACTCCAGTAAGAATAGCAAAATTTAACAGAACAGCAAGCAACAAATGCTGGCGAGGTTGTGGAGAAACTGGAACCTTTATTCATTCACTGTTGGTGGAAGTGTAAAATGGTGCAACCACTGTGGAAGGCGATGTGGCACTTTCTCAAAAAGTTGCAAATAGAAATACTATTTATTTGACCCAGCAAGTCCATTACTGGGAATATACCCCAAAGAGAACATAACTGCCACCCAAGCAGATATATGTACACCCATGTTTATCACGGCTTTGTTCATGATAGCAAGGAGTCGGAAACAAGTGCCCATCAACAAACGAATGGATAGAGAGGCTGTGGTATATTCACACAATGGAATACTATGCTGCATTGAAAAACAATGAACTCATGAAATATTATTCAAAATGGGTGACCCTGGAGGACGTTATGCTGAATGAAATATCTCAGTCACAAAGGGAGAAATACTACATAGTGCCACTGTTGTAAAACAGGACTCACATCGGGGTTGGAGGGAGACACAAAGATGGAATAAATAATGTATACTACATTGAAAAAGATGAGGGAGAAAACTGTTTAAAAGGAAAATGTGATTAGGTAGTACTGTCATGACATTAAGTCCAGAAAGAAGGATGCATAGTGGAGTGGACCTGGGGGGAGGGATTGTAAATCAATGGGGGAACTTCTCTTTTACTTTTCAAAGAGAAGTATGTACTGTGGGGGAGGGGTGGGCAGGGAGAAAAGCGCAACAATGAATGAATGGAAATCCAAAGTCTGTAAATTTTCATTAAAATTAATTTAAAAAATGAAAAAAAAATTTTCAATCACTAGAACAGTTAAGAGTAAACATTGACTTCTTTCACATAAACAAAAAAAAAATCCCTAATTAACATGTTAAGGATTAAGAGTGTTTATTTATTGTCTTCAAATTATGTTATTTAGTTGCTTCAGAAATAAGAAAACGTTTCCCTGTTAAGACAGTAAATACATAATTTTCAGTTTAAACAATATTTTTTAAGCAAAAGAAATTCATTTAATAAAATTTTGTTATGAGAATTAATGTAAAGCTAATTTATAGATTTCAAATAAAAGGAGCAAACAAAAACCCGTTTCTCATACATGTCAAAAGTTTATAAAACAAACCAATGGATTATTTAGTTGCATTCCCAACAATAAGGCTGTATGTATACTCACATATGCTCTATCAGAAATGTAATTAATTCATCTATATTGGCACCAGAATGGAAAATTTTGACATTGTATGTCAACCTCTGCAGAAGCTGGATACACTAAAAAGAAAATAGTTATCAAAGTAAGAATGAACATATTTTAAGCATGTTATTTTATAAAACAGTGTTTAGAGTAAGAATTTTCCCATTTCTTAATGGGTCCTATCATTTTCTAAAAAAAAAAAAAAAAA